TCGTCATCAATTGTGATGCTTGAGCGTCATCGCGGTTATTATCTGATCAATTGATTTAGATGCTTGAGAACAGCTTTGGTAATATTCAATGACATGATAAAAAATTTCGATAAAACGCTTTTCTAATTAAAAGCAATCAATGAGAAGTAACTCAAAAAACCACTGCACTGCTGTTATTGAAAGGCTGATTCAATACCAAAGCTTACTTTTGTTAAAAAAAGTAAACCATCTCATTATTGCAAGAAAATGGGAATGATATCGTGTGTTCAATTTAAGATCCTTTGCTTTAAGATTTGTGCGAAACATACTGTAGTGCATTGACTAAAATACACCTTTTTCAATATCCCCAGTGCAGATTACTTGATGCAAAACGCAGGTCTCTATTAATTGAATGTGAATTTTTTTAAATTTCCAGACTGCTTATTATAAGTGTTGGTATGTGTGTATTTCTAGACCCGTTAGCATAATTCGTATACCCGGTTCTTTAATTTTTTTGTATTTGCAGTGTTCATGCATAAACCAAATTTTGTTAAGTTTATTTTTGTACAGAAATTACCAACATAGAACAGTTTTACACAAATTACGTAAAATTACGGTAATTTTACAACCCTAATTTCATTTTAATGCTGGTCAAAAGTTCTTAATACCGGCCTGCTTTAACACCTTATATATTTGTAACTTACGATGTAACTTACAATGTAAGTTACATTGTCAGGTTAGAAACATAATCCGTATATAACGTGCAGGGGTGTAATTTCGAATTTTGGCCTAAATTAAGTTTAACGCCTCTAGGCGTTATTTCGCGCTTATACGCATCACTAGTTGGTAACCTTCTTTATGACCTTTTATGACTTATAAAACTATTACGCTATGATGTAAAGTTGGATATGACTTAGAAGCCAACGTTACTGTCGTTGGTATCATTTTTTGCATATAGGTTGGGAGCTAGTTTTTCATATTCATATGACTCGCAACTTTTTTGTCATGGCTAAACTACTAAGTTAATCCTGCAAGATCCAATTTATAAGTTCACGATTCTTCCGAGTAGTTTAGTCGATAATATACGCGATAATGTTTTGGAGAAATCTATTTCTTCTGCATTAATGTTTAATTACGTTCCTCGTGAGAAATAGTGTTATCATCTTTGCACAAATTGATTTTATATAATGCGAAATAAAATTTAATTAAAAAAATATTAACGATCAATGAAAGAACATCACACTTTTCAGATAAAGTCTTATGTGAAATGTATTTTGTGGAAGGATATCATAGTCATTATGTTCTTTATTATAATATTGGTAGATTATATTCCCATATTCGAAATAATGCATACCTTTCTATAATGTATTATATCGATAATAAAAAATTGCTAATAACCACAAAAAACAATGCAATAAAAAAACTGAACCAGAAAATTGAAAAAGGATAACTTATTTGATTATTTTTAAATCGAGACTTGATACATTTTAGAAGTGATATGAATTACCGAATATGAAGAACTACTTAACGATTTAAATAGATATAAGCAAATAATGCCGAAATATAAAGGTCTATGATTTTCAGCTTAGAAAAAATTCAATGCTTTGCTAGAATCATAAGAACCAGGGCTGAGTGGATCGTTGTCATCTTCGGTAGCTTCACCCGCATATTATAGAATATTACCGTACAATTTTTCTTTAAAGATGTGAATCTGTGATTTAAGCTCATTGAATGCAAAATGAAGATTTGTATAATGTTTATTCACATGTATAGTTGTTAGACGAAACCTCGAGGTTTCGCGCTGACGAAACGCGAAACCTAGTTTCGTCTTTCGTCAATTAAAATCTTAAATGACGAAATGATGAAACTGACGAAACTGATGAAAGATGACGAAACTGACAAAAATGTAAAGGATGGCAAAACTAATAAAAATGCAAAGGATGGCAAAACTAATAAAAGACGAATATACAGTACAAACAAATGTTGAAAATCATTGAAACAGAAATTTATAAAACTTACAAAAAAATTTATTGAATTATACAGTACACTTCATATCAGTTCTAGTGAGAAATCGCTTGGTGCTTACTTTGTGATCTTACAAATTTGTTTTGTGCCAGTATGTTTTAATTCATTATTTTGTTACTCCATGAGTACTATGGCTTTTTGACAAGGTTATTTCAACTGGTCTATAACAACCCAGAAAAAATGAACTGATTTATTTTTGCTTCGTATACTGATCTCTGATAAATTATGAATGTTAATTCAATGAAATTATTTTTTGATTTTTGTTTTTTTGAGCAGGAGTACTAAGGTTTCGTCTTTTTGAGCGTAAGGTTTCATCATTTTAAGTTTAATGTTTCGTCTTTCGTCGAAAGAATTTGGAGTTTCGAGGTTTCGTCTTTTAAGGGTTTAGGTTTCGGATTTCGTCATCATGCGAAAAAGGTTTCGTCTAACAACTATATTCACATATAAGCATATTATTGATTATTTTAATAACCATAAAATTCACGCCCCCTTTAGCGACAGTAAAACTACTATTGTATAGCGAGTACAAAAACTATAAGTTGCATCAAACAATGCAATAGTTGGTTTAAACTATCAAGTAACCGTTGATTTAAAAAATAGACAAACACTTTTTTTATATCACTATAAAACATTACCTCCGGAAAATTTAATCCATAATATAATAAAGAATATAATGTAGTAAAAAATTAACAAAACTTTATAAAAAATTCCGTATTACCGGATTTCTTTCTTTCCCATTTAGCAATCTTCCAATCTTCTTCATCAACTATCATAATTTTTTGATTAAAATTATTTTCGTAGTAAAACTTTCTCGGAATACCTTCAGAGATATTATTAAAAGAAGAGTTGATAACTTGTTTGTTTATGCAAGAAAGTAGCTCCTCTAACGTTGTTATTTCAGGAATTTCAACTGTGTTTTTTATTGTGGTACGATTAATTGGAGAATTGATTGTGTAATTTATTGTTAACGAGGAATATTTATGCTATTAAATAATTATACACAATTGTATATCTGATATTAGAACTTCATATATATGCGATACTAAATAATCTATATAAGTATTTTAAATTACCTTTGTAGTATTATACTTAGGTTGATTATTGATAGTTCTATTGTTGATAAATTGATTGTTGATTTTAGCTTCAGGTGGCTTATTGTTGAAAAATTGATTATTGATTTTAGTTTCTGGTGACTTGTTGTTGAAAAATTGATTATTGATTTTAGTTTCTGGTGACTTGTTGTAGATAAATTGATTATTGAATCTAGCTTCAGGTGGTTTATTGTTGAAAAATTGATTATTGAATTTAGCTTCAGGTTGTTTATTGTTGATAAATTGATTATTGATTTTAGTTTCTGGTGGCTTATTCTTGAAAAATTGATTATTGATTTTAGTTTCTGGTGACTTGTTGAAAAATTGATTATTGATTTTAGTTTCTGGTGGCCTATTTTTGATAAAATGATTGTTGATTTTAGCTTCTGGTGGCTTATTGTTAATAAACTTATTGTTGATTTTAGCTTTTGGTGGCCTGGTACTGGTTGACTTGTCGGCAGGGATAAAATTGGTAGGCAGATCCTATATAATCATATTTTCATTATATTCAAAGTGCAGAATATTTAAACAATGTACGGTATATTTTAAAAATATTATACCTTATTAGGATCTACATCTTTATTCCAATTTAAAGTAGGTTCATATGAAATTCTGTCAAGTCTTTGTAGATTCACACCTTCTTTAAATTTCATCAATCGATCTTTACCTACTATATTCTTAGGCTTAGCAATCATTAGTGTAGCATCTTCCAATAATTTATCTGTCTTTTCTGGTATTTGTGTCGCCGATGAAATAGACTCAGATGGATAGCAATAATGCTATTTTTTTTTAAAAAAAAATAAATGACCGACATCGATATGACATCGATATGGTATAAAGTTTATATAATGTTGAGTATGAAAAATACTGTATAAAATATTATTACTGTATATGCATATAAACTGTAGGGATGTTAATGGAGTGCTCCAGGGTGGTGTGGTGCATACTCTGGCAGAGTATCCCTTAACACCACACCACACTG